CGGAGGAGGAAGAGAAAATCAAGAGCCTCAATAAGCTGCGACTCAAATATGAGGCCACAATTGCAGACATGGAGGGTGAGTGCCCACCTGCCCAGTGGGGAGCTGTGGGGGTCGGTGCACACTCCAGTGGGGGACCTCGGCCAAGCCTCATGTTGTGGGGTCTCAGTGGTCATTTCCGCTAAATGGGATAGGAAAGAGGGCTCAGGACAGACTGTGTGTCCTCCCAGCTCTTCCATTCTTTATGTTTCTCTAAATCCTACTCTTCCTTTCTCCTTGATGTCTTAGGTCACTCTCACTTTCTCTCCATCTGACTGCTCCACTAACTGTCTGTTTCAGACCCTTTTTGTTTCTCCATGTCTTGCTGTGGACTTAGAATCAGAAACAGAAGGGAAAGGGCACAAGGGGGAGGCTGAGGAGGAGACAGGGCTGTGGACACATGGCAGAGAGAGTCAGGGGAGGAGCAAGGGGCTGCCACTGGAGTGAGGAGAGGACAGTGCCTAGGGGTCTGGCCTGGGGTCTAGGAGGATGGTGGGGTGATCCCCGAGATGTGGATGCTGGGAAGAGGAGAGGGTGTTGGAGGAGATGCTGAGCTCGGCCTTATATGTGGTGAGTGCTGGGGCCATGGCCTCTGTGGGAGCTGCTGGGCTTGTGGGTCTGGACACCCTTGCACGGCCCCCACTCCCACCTCCAGACCGCCTGCGGAAGGAGGAGAAGGGCCGCCAGGAGCTGGAGAAGCTGAAGCGGCGATTAGATGGGGAGAGCTCAGAGCTGCAGGAACAGATGGTGGAGCAGCAGCAGCGGGCAGAGGAGCTGCGGGGCCAGCTGGGCCGCAAGGAAGAGGAGCTGCAGGCTGCGCTGGCCAGGTGCAGGCTGGGGTGGGCTCGGTAGGGGAAGCAGCACAGGTGCACGGCCTGGCAGCAACGGGACACCCCAGTCAGACACTCCTGGACACATACACCAGCTGAGCCACTCACTAGCCATGAACAAGCCACATCCTCCCCAGGTCTCAGTTTCCCCTTCTGTCAAATGGAGATAGCAAGAGCTCCAAGCCTTCCACATCGAACACCCCACAGTCACCTGTGATTTCACAAGTGGCTGGCTGTGTAAGGAATCATAATAATTATAATTGCACCTGTTCACAATTATTGAGCTCCTACTGTATGCCAGATATGGGGCTTAGTATTTCCAGTGCTTTTTATGCACCACGCTTCACGCAGTCTAAGACACCCTTGATTATAGGTGCAGCTCCATTTCAGAGATGTTAAAATGTGAAAAAGTGTGCATCGTAGAATTGATGGCACATGGTGTGTGTGTGTGTGTGTGTGTGTGTGTCTGACTTCTGGGTTCAAATCCTGGCTTCTCCCCTTTTTGGTCCTGTGACATCCCTGCTGTAGCCCTGGTTTCTTCATCTGTGAAGTGGGGGCAGGTATAGAAGCTCTACTCCTGTGGTTAGTGTGGGGATTAAATATGAAAGTGCTCCTTAACACTTGTCACACCCTCAGCCCTCAATAAATACTGAGTGTTTTGTTACTACTTTTTTTTTTTTTCCTTTTTTTGTCTTTTTCTGTGTCCCGCAACGGATCACAACCCTCAATGTCACCCCCGCACCGGACCGGGACCGGCAACGGGATCGCAACCCTCGGCATTGCTCCCACGCCTCGCTCAGCCAATGAGCGGGAACCGGTCTGCATGTGGGATCCGAACCCTCGGCGGGAGCGCCACCGTGCTTCCCAAGCAGCGCACTATTGCAGTGCGCCACCGGGCCGGCCCATTGTTACTACTTTTGATTATTACCCTTGTTTTTGCTTTTCTTTTTTTTTGTATTGAGGTGAAATTTACATAAAACTAACCATTTGAAAGTGTACAATTCAGTGGATTGAGTCCATTCACAGTGTTGTACAACCATTACTTCTTTCTAGTTCGAAAACATGTTCGTCGCCTCAGTAGGAAACCCTGTGCCTGTTAAGCAGCCACTTCCCGTCCCCTCCCTCCCAGCTCCTGGCAGCCACTCATCTGCTTTCTGTCCAAATAGGATTTGCCTATGCTGGGTATTTTTTAAGTGGAATCATGCAACATGTGGTCTTTTGTGTTATTTTTATTGCTGTCCTCTAGGCAACCCCTGTGAAGTGGGGTGTTCATTGTTCATGTCCTCTCACAGACCAGGAGTCTGCTGTTCAGAGAGGTTGTCATTTGCCAGGGCAGGTGGCCAAGCAGGGGATAATGACCCAGGCCTGCATGGCTCCCTGAGTGATGAACGCTGCAACCCGACTCAATTTCTCTTTGCAGTGACGCTGCATAGGGGGGTGAGAAGCCATAACCCATCGCGGTTATGAGGAGGGACTCTAGGTCTGCCCTACCACTCCCTAACCAGGTGACCTGGACACATGCTTTCCCTACTCTGGCCCTGTTTCCTCATTTCACATGAACATTAAATAAGATGATACAAGTAAAGGGCTTGCGTGTAGCAGAAACTCAGTAAGCATCACCTGTGATTACTGTTGGCGTCATTCCCACTTTGCAGCTAAGAAAACTGAGGCTCTAAATACTGGAATCATGTGCCTATTGATAGAGCTAGGATTTGAACCCAGGACTGTCCACCCCCAAAGCCCACGTCTGGTCTCTCCACCCCTAGAAATCATCACCTCACTCCCGTCTGCTCCTGTACCAACTTCATGGTCTTTGTCACCCCAGGGCAGAGGATGAGAGTGGGGCCCGAGCTCAGCTGCTCAAAGCCCTGAGGGAGGCACAAGCAGGCCTGGCCGAGGCCCAGGAGGACCTGGAAGCTGAGCGTGCAGCCAGGGCCAAGGCAGAGAAGCAGCGCCGGGACCTGGGTGAGGAGCTGGAGGCACTGCGGGGAGAGTTAGAGGACACGCTGGACTCTACCAATGCGCAGCAGGAGCTCCGGTGAGGCCCGGGGCCCAGTGGCTGCACTGCCCAGATACACACGGGGCAGGGGGGTGGGGGGTAGAGGACTTGGGTGTGAGGTCTCTGTGTGCACAAAGGTTAAATTATTCAACAATTGTTTATTGAGCACCGGCTCTGGGCCCAGCTTCAGCCTAGCCAGGGCAGACATGAGTCAGACCCAGACATCATCCTAGGGAACTCCTAGTCTCAGGGGAAGCAAAGATAGACCCAATTCTGAGCAAAGGATGCTTTAATGGAGTAACATAGTGCACTATAGATGATAGAGGGCCCAAGAAGACTATCCCGAGGAAGGGTCTTTTGAATAGGGTTTTGAAAGGTGAGTAAGAGTTCACCCTTCAAGCCACACTCTTCCCCCAGCATCACTGCCAAGATCCCTGTGGGAGTGTAGAGGGAGGTCCCCATCCTTGAAGGGAAAGAAGACAAGGAGGCAGGCACAGCCAGCTGTCAAGGGGCTCCCCCAAAGTCCCTGCCTTCCTCTATTCTGTAATTCTGTTCCCTTTTCCCTTCTCTCAATAAAAGGTCCAAGAGGGAGCAGGAGGTGACGGAGTTGAAAAAGGCTCTGGAGGAGGAGACACACATTCATGAGGTGGCAGTGCAGGAGCTGAGGCAGCGCCATGGCCAGGCACTGGGAGAGCTGGCTGAGCAGCTGGAGCAGGCTCGGAGGGTAGGTTGAGGCAGGGGGAAGGGAGTGGGGAGGACAGGACGCTGGGCTGGTGGAGGTACCTATGGCTGGTCATCTTCCTGGGGTTCTTCGAATATGTCTTCCATTTGCCTTTCATTCAGCGAGCATTAATTGAGCACATACTATGTCCCAAGGATGGTGCTGGCGACCCAGCAGTAAACAAAACAACTGATACTGCCTTCCCTTGTGGACTTCACATTTTAGTGAGAGAGGCAGAGAGTAAACAATATAAACACATTTATAATATAGATTGGGGTAATAAGTGCTATGGGGCCATGATGAACAGGGAAAGGGGAATCAGTGCTGAGGGAGGGGGTGCAATTTTAGAGAGTCCATGGAAGAATTCTGTGAGAAGGTGATATCTGAGTAAAAAACTGAGGGAGGTAAGGGGTGAGCCATCTGGGCTTCAGGGGGAAGCATGTTCCAGGCAGAGGGAACAGCCAGTGCAAAGGCCCTGAGGCAGGAACATGCCTGAGTGTTTAAGAAAGAGCAAGGAATTCCAAGTGGAGGGAACAGCAAGTGCAAAGGTCCTGAGGCAGGAATATGCCTGAGTGTTTAAGAAAGAGTGAGGAATTCCAAGTGGAGGGAACAGCCAGTGCAAAGGCCCTGACCTGGTGGAGAGGAGGACTCATAAACCTTTGCTTGTCTCTCTCCCTGGCCAGGGCAAAGCTGCATGGGAGAAGACCCGGCTGGCCCTGGAGGCTGAGGTGTCTGAGCTGCGGATGGAGCTGAGCAGCCTGCAGACTGCACGTCAGGAGGGTGAACAGCGGAGGCGCCGCCTGGAGTCCCAGCTGCAGGAGGTGCAGGGCCGGGCTGGAGATGGGGAGCGGGCACGAGTGGAGGCTGCTGAGAAGCTGCAGCGAGCCCAGGTGAGTGGGGTAGCCAGGGAAGGGGTCTCTGCTGTGTAACCTTGGGTGAGATACCTGCCCTCTCTGGGCTTCTTTTTGGTACACATCAACCCTGTTGTCCCATCCAGCTGTTCCAACATAAACATGCCTGAGTAGCTAATATTTGGTGGGCAGTTACTGTATACCAAGCATTTTTTTTGTAAGGAAAAGCTAATATTGTTCTGATTTTACACAAGAGGAAACTGAGACCCAGAGCTGTAAATTTGATTGCCTAAGGTCACTCAGAGCTGAAACTCAAACCCAGATGTGTCTGACTCTTTGGCTCTTAACCCTGCCACATCCTTACTTTCTACTCTCTTCTTTTCTGACTTTGAATAATTCATGGTCTGATTAGAAATTTATGGTGTGAATGCATGGATCAGTACAAGGACAATATCATACTGTGACTATTCTAAGAAAAGTGGGTTTTTAAAACTTAATTTTATTCAGTTTTTAACTAAATGACTTATTCATTCATTTTTGAGAATACAAACAAGTAAAAAGAATGAAGGGAAGAATGACAGGGTTTTTTTTTTTAAGAATGACTTTTAATTCCCCAACCCCTGCAGGGAAACCACTACTACTGTTTTTGATTACCAGATTAAAATATTGTATTAGTTATGGTAAATGTTAAGCTACTATAACAAAGGGCCTCCCAAATTCACCAGCTTAAATAAAAGACATGTGTCTTTTCCCTCTCAAGAAATAGGCTCAGGGTAAGCTGTGGAGGCTGGTAGACACTCTGCTCCATGAAATCATTCAAGACCCATGTTCTTTTGTCTTGTTCCACCATACCTGAGGGAACCTTGACCTCATCTTCAGGGTTGTGGGCACATCTGTGCTGGAGCTTAGGAAGGGGAAAAGAGAGAAAGTGACATAATTTGCATGTTTAACTTTGCTTTTGTTCCATTGGACATAACTTAATCACATGACAGCAGCTAGCTGCAAGGGAGGCTGGGAAATGGAGTTTCCAGCTGGCAGCCATGGTCCTAGTTAATAGTCTTTCATTGTGGGAGCAGGGAAGAATGAATTTGGGGGTACAGTTAGGGTCTGCCCCAAATGGAATCATGCTTCCTGGTGGTCACTCTACTAAGCTCTTTACATATTACAAAAGTAAAAGTGACACTAAAAGTAGAGCTAGAGGTTGGTAGAATGAGTTTTAAGCAGTTTTCCAGTAGAACTTTCTTTAGTGATGGGAATATTCTGTGTTTGCACAATCCACTAACCACATGTGGCACTGAACACTAGAAATACGGTGAGTACAGCTGAGGAACTGAATTTTTACTTTTATTTCATTTTAATTACTATAAATTTAAATTTAAATAGCCACATGTGGCTAGAGGCTACCATATTGGATAAAGCCATTCTGCCTGGGCTCAAATCTCAGTTCTACCACTTGTAGCTGTGTGTTCTTAGACAAATTGCCTACCCTTTTTGTGCCTCAGCTTCTCTTCATATAATCTGGGAATAACACTGGTGTCTACCTTATAGGGTTGGTGTGTGAGTCAGTGAGCCAATACTTAGTAAGGCACTTAGAATAGATTCTGGGCACACAGTAAACTCTCAAAAACTGTAAAATGTTCCTATTTATTGAGCATTAGATATATATGCTAGCCACTGAGTTAGGCACTTTATAGTCATTTCCTTTAATCTTCACAGCAGCCTTAGGAGGTAGGTCATGTTATCATACCCACTTTATAGATAAGGAAAATGGGGCCCAGAAAGGTGGAAGTCACTTGTCCCAGGTCATACAGCCAGAAATACCAGGTCCAGGTCAAAATATAATTTTTAAAAGTTCAAATCACGACTTTCATGAACAAAGACATAGTAAGCATATGTCAAAGATGTATTTAAAGCATTTATGAGGAACCAAGCAGGATAGCAAAGATGTTCAAGCGGAGATATAGATATAGATGTATATTCAACAAGAAAGAGAATGTTGGGATGAAGTGGCATGGTTAGAGACAGCTGATTAAAGCTTTAGATTATCTTCTCTACTGGGCAGAAATCATTTGCAACTTAACCGTCTTCTTCATATAACTGCACAGTGTAAGTCAGAGAGAGTTTCACTCCCCTGGAGAGTGAGATAGACCCAAGGCAGTTCTATGACAGCAATTCCAAGTTTTCAGATAAATTTTCTTATCCAGAATTTAAACCCAAACTTGTTCCTCAAGTGCACCTTAGAAAGGGAGATAAGGAGGCTCAGGGTAAGGCAGAAGTGCTGGAGACTCTTGTCCAACAAACATTTATTGAGCACCTACTGTGTGCCAAGCCCTGTTGTGGGCCCTGGGGACACAGCAAGGAAGATGAGGTCTCTGCCCTTGTGAAGGGAATAGTCCAAGGGGAAGGCAGTGATGAACTGCCTATTTTCTGCAGCAGAGGAGCAGGAAGGAGCAGGAGCCTTGCCCAGGATCATTGTGGCGGTGATTTTTTGTGGGGTGGGGTAGGGGAAGGAACAGCTTTATTGAGATATAACTCACATACTATATAATTCGCCCACTGAAAGTGTACAATTGAATGGATTTTAGTATATTCCCAGAGTTGTACAACCATCACCATAGTCTAATTTTAAACCATTATCATCACCCCCCAAAGAAATCCCATACTCTTTAGCTATCATCCCCCAAGTCTTCCTGCACTCCACCCAGGCTAGCACTCATCACCATAGTCTAATTTTAAACCATTATCATCATCCCCCAAATAAATCCCATACTCTTTAGCTATCATCCCCCAAGTCTTCCTGCACTCCACCCAGGCTAGCACTAATCTACTCTCTGTCTCTATAGATTTCCTATTCTGGAGATCTTATATACATGGAATCATACAATATGTGGTCTTTGTGACTGCTTTCTTTTACTAAGCGTAATATTCCCAGTGTTCATCCATGTTGTAGCATGTATCAGTGCTTCCTTCCTTTTCATTGCCAAATAATACACGTTGTGTGGATATACTGCATTTTGTTCATCCATTTATTTATTGATGGACATTTGGGTGGTTCCCACCTTTTGATGATTGTGAATAATGCTGCTATCAACATTCCATGTCTATTTCTGCATAGACATATGTTATCACTTATCTTGGCTACATACCTAGGAGCGGAATTGCTAGGTCATATGATAGCTCTATGTTTAACCCTTTGAGAAACTTCCAGACTGTTTTCCACAGCAGCTGTGCCATTTTATATTCCCACCAGCCATGTCTGGTAGAGATTTCAGACCAAGAAATAGATGGGATTGGCTGGGTGGAGGCCACAATTAGAGAGCTTAATCCCAGCTGCCTCTTCCCACAGGCTGAACTTGAGAATGTGTCTGGGGTGCTGAGTGAGGCTGAGTCCAAAGCCATCAGGCTGAGCAAGGAGCTAAGCAGCACGGAAGCCCAGCTACATGATGCCCAGGTGATGCAGCCCACCCTTCAACCTCACCATTACCCCCCATCCTTCTCCTGACCACAGCTGACATTGTCCCCTCCATCTACAGGAGCTGCTGCAGGAGGAGACCAGGGCGAAGCTGGCCTTGGGGTCCCGGGTGCGAGCCATGGAGGCTGAGCTGGCAGGGCTGCGGGAGCAGCTGGAGGAGGAAGCAGCTGCCAGGGAGCGGGTGGGCCGTGAGCTGCAGACCTCGCAGGTGCAGGTGAGCAGCCCTGAGCAAGACCTTCGAGGGGGCAGTCCCCCAAGCTGTTCCTCTGGACTCCCCAGCTCAAGGATGGGCCTGCCATCCCCCCAGTCATAAGCCAGACCCCTGGGTGTTATTCTCACCTCTTGACTCTCCCTCACTCGCTATAGACCACGCCCAGCCCTGTCCTTCTGCCCCCTGACTGCCTCATCCCCTGCTCTTCATCCACACAGCTCCAGCCCCAGCTCTGCCATTTAGGTCCTGCTCTCAGCCTCTCAGCCTCTCCCCTTCCAGTTCAGCCCTCACATGGCCCCAGAAGTCTCTTTCTACACCCAGAGCTGACCCTACCTCTACCCTGCTCACAGCCCTCCTGTGGCTTCCCGTGAAGCCCTGGACACAGCCCATGCTTCTCAGCAGGGCATTTGAGGCCATGTATTCTGTTATTTCCTTCATTTTTAGTTGTATTATCTCTATTTTCACTGCCCCATTTCCCTTTCATTCTTCTGAATTTAGCAGCTGCTGTTAGAAGCTTTTCTTGACCACCCCCGTCTTTCTCCTCTGTGTCAACTTCAGTCATCTTGGGTTGGGACTGTCTCTGCCCATGAGTCTCCCCACCAGACCGTGAGCCCCTTCAAAGTGGAATGCCACCTGAGTTAGATCCGGGTCCCTAGCACAGACCCATGTAGAGCCCCAGGTATGGTGAGTACCTGCAAATATCCTATAACTGGCAAACTCCCACGCATACTTCAAGGCTCATCTCAAATGCCACCTCCTCCAGGAAGTCTCTCCTGAATGTTCTAAACAGAATCTGACCCCTTCCCGTGGACTCCCATGCTGCTATACATCTTCCTTAGCCTCCATCACCCTGCCTGTAATGCTGTGCCTGCCCCGTGAGACTGAGGGTTTCCCAGGGAAGAACTTAGGTCTGATTCCTCTCTGGTGCTGGCAGGAGTCATTTTAATCCCCTGAAAGAATTGGGCTCATGGTACTGGCAACATCAACTCCACTCTGAGAGAGAAGAGCCCAGTGGAGTGACTTCTTTCCCTTTCCAGGGCTCAGTCTCCTTGTCTGGGAAATGGGGCAGCACCACTTCATATCTTCAGCATGGCCATGACTTCTACCCACCCTCTCTGTCCTCCCCCAGCTCTCAGAGTGGAGGCGGCGCCAGGAGGAGGAGGCAGGGTTGCTGGAGGCAGGGGAGGAGGCCCGGCGCCGGGCGGCCCGCGAGGCTGAGACCCTGACCCAGCGCCTGGCAGAAAAGACAGAGGTAGTGGAGCGGCTGGAGCGGGGCCGCCGCCTGCTGCAGCAGGAGCTGGATGACGCCACCGTGGACCTGGAGCAGCAACGGCAGCTCGTGAGCACGCTGGAGAAGAAGCAGCGCAAGTTCGACCAGGTGGGGCACCTCAGTTTACCCAGCTGGGGAATCAGCAAGTTAATCTATCCTTCCCATGGTCATTGTGAGGAATCAGTAATATGAGATGTCACGCTCAGCTCTGAAGTGGTGGTGCACCAAGAAGCAACACACTCTTGGCTCTGAGCCTCTGTAAAACAGGACACCCATCTGTCATCCACTTTTATGCCTCTTGTCTAAGCATAATTATTAGTAGCACCGCCTTTAATTTCAAAGATGTAGTTTGGGTGATGAAATATAGGAATACCCTCTGAGCACCCCAGAGGGTGCTTATAAGGATTAACATATTTCACTTGTTCAGCTGACTCATTGGGTACCTCAGGCAAGTTGCTTTTCCCATCTCGGCCTCAGTTTACCCATCTAGAAAATGGGAATAATGCCAAGCATCTGGCAGCCTGAGGATGAGCTAAAATCACAGAATCCCAGAGAGTTAAGGTCAAGCAACCCTGAGGTTCAAATCCTTGCTTGATCTCTTTCTAACCGTGTAGCTTGGGCAAACTGTGCAATGTTTCTGTGCCTGATTTTATTCATCTAGAAAACATTAGCAGCAGTGGGAGGGGGCATTATTTTGCCCTCATATTTGAAAGATTTTTCACTGGACGTAGAATTTTAGGTAAACAGTTTATTCTTTCAACACTTTGAAGATGTCATTCCATTAACCCACCTCTTTGCCTCTCTCTTTCTCTTTGTGCATGTGTCTCTCTCTCTGTTTCTCTCTCTCTGTCCCTGGCTGCTGCTTCTTCCCCGTCCCTTGTATACTCCTTTCAGCTAATCTGTTTCCCCTCACCTCATATCCTTCAACCTGGAAGCTCCTGGCAGAGGAGAAGGCAGCTGTACTGCGAGCGGTGGAAGAACGTGAGCGGGTCGAGGCAGAGGGCCGAGAGCGTGAGGCCCGGGCCCTGTCCCTGACACGGGCACTGGAAGAGGAGCAGGAGGCACGTGAGGAGCTGGAGCGCCAGAACCGGGCATTGCGGGCCGAGCTGGAGGCGCTGCTGAGCAGCAAGGATGATGTCGGCAAGAGCGTGAGTGAGGCCGCCGCTCCTCAGGCCACACCTGTGCACACACGTGATGAGGGGAGACACAGACACACACGTGTGCACTCACACACAGAGCGTGAAAGATACCAGCCATCGGAGTCACATGTTCACGCACAAACACTGAACGGGAGGAGAGCTGCTGACCAACAGAGTGTGAGGAGAATCTTCCACCAAACACACGTGTTCACACACACGTGCAAAGTCAGGTGAGCTGTTCACCGGAGATCCATGTACCAGAGATCCATGTAGCACACACAGAACACGAGGAGACTCTCTCATCAAACATACGTGTCAGGGTGTGAGAGCTGCTCACAATGCATGCTCACATTCACGTACACGAAATGTGAGGAGAGCCTCCCGTTAGACACGTATGTTCACACTCAGAGTGTGAGGAATACTCACCACACGTGTGAAAACTCAGAGAGAGAGAGAGAACATGAAGAGAATTTACCAAAACACGCAACCTGAGAACCTGACGAGTGCATACACCACACACCACACACACACACACACACACACACACACCACACACACACCACACACCACACACACACATACCACACACCACACACACCACACACACATACATACCACACACACCACACACACACGCGCGCACACACACACCACACACACACATACCACACACCACACACACACACACCACACACACCACACACGCGCGCGCGCACACACACACCACACACACCACACACCACACACACATACACCACACACCCACACACCACACACACACCACACACACGCGCGTGCGCACACACACACACCACACACACATACATACGACACACAGCACACACACACACGTGTACACACACACCACACACACACACACCACACACACACCACACCCACACACACCGCACACCCACACACCCACACCACACACGCGCGTGTGCGCACACACACACCACACACACATACATACCACACACAGCACACACACACCACACACACACACACACACCACACACACGCACACACACCACACACACAAACCACACACCACACACACACACACACCACGGAGATCCATGTACCACACACACAACACGAGGAGACTCTCTCATCAAACATACGTGTCAGGGTGTGAGAGCTGCTCACAAAGTATGCATGCTCACATTCACGTACACGAAATGTGAGGAGAGCCTCCCGTTAAACACGTATGTTCACACTCAGAGTGTGAGGAATACTCACCACACGTGTGAAAACTCAGAGAGAGAGAGAGAACATGAAGAGAATTTACCAAAACACGCAACCTGAGAACCTGACGAGTGCATACACCACACACCACACACACACACACCACACACACACCACACACACACCACACACCACATACACACATACCACACACCACACACACCACACACCACACACATACCACACACACACCACACACACATACATACCACACACACCACACACACCACACACACACGTGCACACACACACACCACACACACACATCACACACACACACCACACACACACACACCACAGACACACACACACACCACAGACACACACACACACACCACACACACACCACACACACACACCACACACACACACCACACACACACACACACACCACACACACACACACCACACACACACACACCACACACACACACACCACACACACACACACCACACACACACACACCACACACACACACACCACACACACACACACCACACACACACACACCACACACACACACACCACACACACACACACCACACACACACACACCACACACACACACACCACACACACACACACCACACACACACACACCACACACACACACACCACACACACACACACCACACACACACACACCACACACACACACACCACACACACACACACCACACACACACACACCACACACACACACACCACACACACACACACCACACACACACACACCACACACACACACACCACACACACACACACCACACACACACACACCTACCTACTTCCAACCCCACCGAGCACACACGGGCTCCCCACCGGGCTGCTGTCTTCCCCTGACTCACACATCCATCCAGGGCCTGGAGGGAGTTCCCTAGGCCTGTTCCCAGGCTCCCCTTACCCAGCCTGTGTCCCGGCCTTCTGAACGGTCAAGATGGCCAACCACACCCTCCACTCCATCCTTTCTTCTTTCATCCACTAAATACATCTGTGGAGCACCAGATAGGACAGGCCCAGGGACACAGGCCACCCTCACTAACAGTGGCAAAATCTGTGTTTAGTTGAGTCCCCAGGCGGACACCCTCCCCAAACCCTGTTTTTATTTCCCAACAATGTACTCCTAGGGATGTGACAGATGAGGAATTTATCTTCTCCATGTGCTTTGGCCTTGATCCAATGGAAGTTTTTCAGCCAGGCCTGAAGAGAACTCCCATCCCCCTGACATACCCCAGCCTGCAGCCCCAGGAATACTAGAGCTAAGACTCAGCTCATTCTCAAGCAGTTAAGATCTGACATTCGGGAAAACCATGAAGTTATTTGTAGTGACTCCAAAGGCCTTTGTGGGAAATAGGAGGTGGATGGGAGAAAGCTTGATCCCTTTGAGTAAACAACATAAATTGGCAGGTGTCAAACAGGGAGACCAGTAGGTCCCTCCCTAGGGGTGAAGGTAGACACTGTCACTGACCAGAATTTTAATGAGGATAGGTTACTTGGGCAGTAGTGATCCACAGAGAGCATCCCTGCCCTGTGGAACTCACAGTCCAGTGTGGGAGGTGGGTGTCACACAAAAAATCACATAAGCAAGTGTTAAATGACCATTGTGGCTAAGTAGGAGAGGGGCTCAGTGCCAGGAGCATGGATAACAGAGAGGTCCTGAAGGTCAATGGTGACAATTAAGGAGAGGCACAGGGAGGGGTCTCTGAGAATTCATAAGCCCAGGTCTGTTTTCACAGAGCATTTGAGGTTTTAATTTACACCTCCCTGAAAGATCTGGGAACCCCAAAGCTGGGAAAAAAAAAAGAGATAGTAGGAAAGTGATACTCTGGGGAGACTGGCAGAAACCAGCACTGATAGCTCTGGAGCTACATGCCTTCAACCCATCTTCACACAGGATTCCTGAAGATGAAGCCCCAGTGAAGTGAGTTCACAATCCAGAATTACAAAACTCCAAGTCAATAATCCACCACGAGTGAAATTCAGCTGACAAACACTTGAATTAGACTCAAGAGCTTCACATAATAGAATTATCATGCACAGGTTATTAATAAAATATGTTTTAGGATGTTTCAGAATGAGACACAGAAAGTAGGTGCTCAGTAAATGTTGAATGAACCAAGTAGAATGGACGTATCAACTTGCTGCCTCCCCATCCTCCATCAAAGCTTCCCCCACTCTACCCAGGGTCCTAGCCTCTCCCTCCCCCAGTGTCCCAGGCACCCCGTGCTCACTCTACCTCCCCACCAGGTGCATGAACTGGAACGAGCCCGCCGGGTGGCGGAACAAGCAACCAATGACCTGCGAACACAAGTGACAGAACTGGAAGATGAGCTGACAGCAGCCGAGGATGCCAAGCTGCGCCTGGAGGTGACTGTGCAGGCTCTCAAGACACAGCACGAGCGTGACCTGCAGGGCCGCGACGAGGCTGGTGAGGAGAGGCGGAGGCAGCTGGCCAAGCAGGTACAGTCAGGTGGGAGGCATGGGGTGCGGTCCAGCGGGGGTGTGCCGTGGTGCACACAGGCAGCAAGAGGGGCAGCAGGGGGTCTCATCCCCCCACCTGCTACTCAATGTTTCTACCAAAGTCCCTCCTGCTAGACAGCCACCCCCCTCCTGCAAAGCTCTCTTTCTGTTATCCAACCCATTAGCCCACCGTGACCCATTAATCCACACACACACATCCTGTTGACGTATCCACCCATCCATTCATCCACCCATCTATCACCCCATCTATTCAACCACCTCAACCACCTATGCACAGCCTCTCCACCAACCAGCACTTATACCAGCCAACCCTGTGTCTAACTGCTACTCCATCCACCCAACTACCCTCTTCTAACCAGCCTGCTCTCCTCAGCCCAGCCACTCCCCTGTTTACTAAGCCTCAGCCCCTGCACACCCCCAGCCTCCTCTTGCACTCGTTTGCTCGCTTGTTGACAAGCTCACTCACATCCTCACTTTCTCATTCATTCAGTCATTCACCTGCTTCCTCATCTGTTCCATCACTTTCTCCTCTCTGAGGTGGTCATTCATTCTCATTCAGTCAAGGAACTTCCAATGGTTTTCCATCTACTAGGTGATGAGTGCTGAGTGTGGGAGGAGCAGGGTTATCCCCGAGTGTCAGAGGCCCCTCAGGGGCCATGTGGGCAACAGACTCGGGGGGGGGCGGTGCTAGAAGCTGGGACGGGGGGGTAGAAGATATAAGAAGGTGCCCCAAGTCTGAGGGTCTCTGTGTTTTTTGTCTCTACTGCCCCCCTTTGATCCAGTCGTGGATGAGTGTCCAAGACTTGGCCCTGGGGGCACTGGGGTGCCACGGGTGGCCCGTGAGCAGGGTCAGCTCTGGGTGTACAAAGACCATTCTGGAGCCATGTGGGAATGGGCTGAAGGAGACAGATGAGAGGCTGAAAATGTCGCTTGGGTGAGAAGGGAGGGCAAGGCCTGAGCTGGTGCTATAGGGATGGAGAGTCAGGGCAGAAGGAATGGGGCCTGAGGCCTAGGCAGGGGGCAGATATCATTGTCACTACCATGTAGAGAAAGCCTGGGTGCCCTGTCCCCTGACCCGGCCCCTCCTCGCCTCCTCCCTCCCCCAGCTGAGGGATGCAGAGGTGGAGCGGGATGAGGAACGGAAGCAGCGTGCTCTGGCTGTGGCCGCCCGCAAGAAGCTGGAGGCAGAACTGGAGGAACTGAAGGCTCAGACAGAAGCTGCTGGGCAGGGCAAGGAGGAGGCAGTGAAGCAGCTTCGCAAGATGCAGGTAAGGCTGTGGCTTGCGCTGTGCCAGGGAGGAGAGGCCCCAGGTGTCTCCGAGCCCTCATCATCACTCCAGGGTCAGAGATCAGCTCGAACCCTGCCCTCTTGACCCCACAAGCAGCATCCAAATTAGTCAGCACATTTAGAAACATCCATGCCTCAAATGCTCACTTTTTATATTTTTTATTTCCTTTATTTAAAATGCTCAATTTTGGGCCGGCCTGTGGCTCACTTGGGAGAGTGTGGTGCTGATAACACCAAGGCCCCGGGTTCGGATCCCATATAGGGATGGCCGGTTTGCTCACTGGCTGAGCATGGTGCTGACAACACCAAGCCAAGGGTTAAGATCCCCTTACCAGTCATCTTTTTTAAAAAAAAAAAAAAAAAAAGCTCAATTTTAAGTCCAATTTTCTCACTTTATTTTTGAAATAGAAATACTTTAGTTTTTTTTTCTAATTATGAAAGTTATACCTGGTTTATGTTTTTTAAAAAACAGTTCTATACTGTACTGTACAATACAGTGGGCATCAAAAGTCCCTATCAACTGGAATTGTGAGGGTTGAGGGAAATCAGTATGTATGTATATATAATAGGGCCTGGCCCAAGGTAAATGATTGGTAAGTGTTTGCCATCATTATTATTACTGCAGACTCCAAATCTTATACCCATTTTAGGCTTATTTTAATTATAAGGTGTTTCTCAAGTGGAGACAACTGAGGCCCAGAAAGGGGCAGTGGCTGGTTCAGGGTCACTCAGCAAGTCTGTAGCCAATTTATGATTCAAATCCGGGTCTGTCTGATGAAACCAGGCTCCTTCGGGCCTCTGGCTGCCTTCTAAGCTCAGCCAGGCCAACCCCCTCCTTATATAGTCAACAAAACCAAAGACCTGAGACGGAGAATGCTTGCCCAGAGTCACACCGCGAGTGGCCCATGGGTAGGAGCCCGGGTCTGCAGGGCTCCAGTAATGCCCTGCTTGTTCATAAGGAGCCAAGGAGCCCCAAGGGACTTGTGCGAGGGTGGGGGGTTTCCTGTGAGGCTCTGTCGCCAGGCTGAACCCTTCCGCCCAGGTCCAGGTAAAAGAGCTATGGCGGGAGGTGGAGGAGTCACGCAGCTCCCGGGAGGAAATCTTTGTCCAGAACCGGGAGAGTGAGAAACGCCTCAAGGGGCTGGAGGCTGAGGTGCTACGACTGCAGGAGGTAAGGGCTGGGGGACCCTGGGGTGTGAGGCTGGGGCGGTGGGTGGGGCTAACCACATGGCCTCCAATGCCAACCTGCGGGGCAGGGGAGGGGAAAGGTCGGCTCTGTGGTAGTGAACTGGAGGAGGGACACTGGTGGCAGGAAGGCTGGGGACAGAGGACAAGACCTGAACTGGAGCCAAGGGCACTCAGAGGAGAAACAAGGCAGAATTAGGAGGCAGAGGGAGGGGCCTGTGGGTGCTAAGGGGCAAGTGGAAGCTAGAAGAGCACACAGGAGTCTGGCCTAGTGACTTGGGGAGCCCGGAGGAGGAGCAGGCTTGAAAGGAGACACTGAGCTCCATAGAAGGAGAGGGTGAGGGCCTAGGGGTTGGACATCAAGAGGCGGACACTGATTAGGGGCTCAGGAGTTGGATTTGAGAGAAATCTGCTTGTAGATTAAAGTTCATTCCATGGTTACCCAGGGACAGTATGTTCGCGCTTAGTAGAAAAAAGACCAGAAGACTCTCAAGTCTCCAGTATGAGGGACAGGAAGTGGATGAGACCAGTGCTCAGACAGCTTGACCTCATCCCCCCTGGTGCCTTCTGTCTGTCATCACAGGAACTGGCTGCCTCAGATCGCGCCCGGCGGCAGGCTCAGCAGGATCGGGATGAGATGGCAGATGAGGTGGCCAACGGCAACCTTAGCAAGTAAGTGGCCCATGGTAATGTGGGGCCAGCCGCCCTCTTCTGACCGTCCTGCCCCCTTACTCCACACCTTCCTGTTCTCCCTAGGGCAGCCATTCTGGAGGAGAAGCGTCAGCTGGAGGGGCGCCTGGGGCAGATGGAAGAGGAACTGGAGGAGGAGCAAAGCAACGCAGAACTGCTCAATGACCGCTACCGCAAGCTGCTCCTGCAGGTGAGCACGGCCCAGCCACCTCCTGCCAGCCTGGGTCCCCACTGACCTGGGGCTATAATTTTCAGTCCTCAAATTCAACAAATGTATATAGTTTAGTTTTTTTTGTTTGTTTTTTATTCTTGTTTTCATTTATCTAGTAATTTTTATTATTCAACAAATATATAAAAGGGAATATTTGAGTTGGATTTTGAAAGTTGAATAGGAGTTCTTAAAGGGGGGAAGAGGCATGATGCTTTCATTCAGTTGTATTTCTGAGGTTTCTCAAGGGCTAGATCCAAAGATGAATTAAAGGGCGCCTCTGTTCTATGGAGGTCCCTGGAGGAAACAGACACTGGGCTAAACTGTCATACGGTGGCAAGTGTTATGATGGAAATACCTAGGACCCAGTACAAAGAGAAAGAAGACTCTTTCTGTAGGAGGCACGAGAAGGCATTTGGAAGAAGAGATATTTGGCTCGAATTTTAAAGCATGGAACTCAGCAGAGGGAGAAAAGCATGTTTTCATTTGTATACTTACTTGTAAATATTTTCTGAGGCTTCCGGATACCCAAATCATATTCTGAGTGATGCTAGGGACCTGGAGATGGATCATTGTATGTCTCTGCCCTCAAACACATCCTAGTTTGATGGAGAAAACAGACTGTCCCTATATAGAAATATAAGGGAAAATTGGAGGAAACACAAGGCACTGTGGAAACCTAGAAAGGACTACTGACTTAGCCTAGAGGAAGGCTTCCTGGTGGAGGTGATGCCTTAAGAAATCTTATAGCTGGGCCGGCCCGGTGGCGCACTGCTACAGTGCGCTGCTTGGGAGCGAGGCGGTGCTCCCGCCGAGGGTTTGGATCCCACATACAGACCGGTTCCCACTCACTGGCTGAGCGAGGTGCGGGTGTGACACCGAGGGTTGTGATCCCGTTGCTGGTCCCGGTCCGGTACGGGCGCGACACTGAGGGTTGCGATCCATTGCTGGACATGAAAAAAGACAAAAGGGGAAAAAAAAAAAAAAAAGAAATCTTATAGGAAGTATAGGAGTTTGCCAGGCAGACAATAGAGTAATGGGATTTCCGAAGAGAGACCTCTGTCTACATTACTTCATTAATTTTTAAACTCATATCCTGAGGCCTCTTGGGATCCATCCCCTGGCACCACTAGGGACTCAGAGAAGAGTTAGACCCCAGCCCTTAGGGAACCCCCAGGCCAATGGAGGGGCAGTCATATTCCAGACTGTGACACATATTCCCTCTCACTTAGAATAAAATCTCAGTCACCTACAGTGCCCCACACAGTCTGGTCCCCGGCTAACTCAGATCTCGCCTCTAACTCTTCTCCTGCTAGCTCCCTTTGCTTCTGCCACACCAGTCTCCTCACTTTTCCTTGACTAAGCCAAGATTATTCCCACCTCAGGGCCTTTGCACTTGCTGTTTCCTCCTCCTGGAAAGCTCTTCTCTGAGTGCATCAAATGGCTAACTCCCTTAAAACAGTGTTCCCTGACCACACTGTGTAAAACAGCCACCCTCCCTCCTGTGATTTCTCTCTGCTTTAATTGTCTTCATATCATCACTACCTCGTGTTGTATTATATATTTACTTGTTTGTCTATTGTTCATCTCCCCAACAGAATTTGAGAACCTTGAGAGCAGGGCCTTTGTCTTAGTTTTTGTCCACTGCTATATCCCCAGTGCCTAAAACAGTGCTGAGTACACAATAGGTTCTGATTATAAATCAAATGAATAAGACAATATGTGCTTTAATGAAGGGAGCATAGGGTACTACAACTGTGTAAAAGATGGCGTGACTTAACCAACCCAACCCGTGTCCTTGGCTGTTGGCGAAAGGACAGAATTTGAAAAAAGGAAAATGAAACTTAAAAAGATATAAAAAGGGATTCACAAGAAAATAGCAAATATTGAAGACAGGCAAAGAAGACTCCACATATGGGTAATAGGAGTCTCTTTTTTTTTTTTTAACATGACCGGTAAGGGGATCTCAACCCTTGGCTTGGTGTTGTCAGCACCACACTCTCCCAGGTGAGCCACGGGCCGGCCCCAAAGACAGGCTATTCTAATTTTATCATCTGCCTTGTACTTGATATCAGGATACTCAGCATCGAAGAACCTAGATGTAGATGTTGTAGAGAAGAAGTTAAGGGAAGAAACCCTGTCATCCTGAATTTGACTTGGTCACCTTCATATGAACTGATGATGCATTTTATATAATCCATTTTATCTCTGTTCACCCAAAAGGCCTAGAAACAATAACCAGTCCTGTAGCAGTGAGAATCCCTACGTTCATATTGTGGTGTAGAAATACTATTTCCCACTGAAAGAAACTGAGGCTTCTTCAGAAATGGCTGATTCCAGATCTGGAGCAGGAAATGGGCAGGAGTAGCCTGGAATATCACTTCATACCAATTAGCAAGAAAGACAATGTGGTTATGGCAGAAGCACTCAGAAGTCAACCTGGAGAACCGCCCACTGGCCCCAAATGGGACACTTTGAGCTTCAACAAGGAAAAGTATTAAAAATTCCCATTGATTTAAACCTATCAAATCTGTTCAAATCTATGAGTACAAAGTAATATTTTAAAAAGTACTAATAAGTCATTGCATTAATTCCCTAGGGTTGCCCTAACAAGTTACCACAAATCCAGTGGCTTAAAACAATAGGAATTTATTCTCTCATAGTTCTAGAGGCCAGAAGTTCAAAATCAAGGTATCAGCACGGTTGGTTCCTTCTGAGGGAGAACCTGTTTCTCGCCTCTCTCCTGGCTTCTGGTGGCTGCCAGCAGTCCTTGGCATCCCTTGACTTGTAGATGTGTCATGCTGGTGTCTGCCTCCATCCATACATGGTGTTCTCCCTGTGTCTTCTCTACATGTCTGTGTCTCCTCTCTTCTTCTTATAAAGACATCAGTCATATCAGATTTAGGGCCCACTCTCATCTAGTATGACTTCATCTTAATTTAACTAATTCCATCTGCAAATTCCCTATTTCCAAATAAGGTCACATTCCAAAGTTCTGGGTAGACATGAATTTTGTGGGGAAGACTATTCAATCCAGGACAGGTGCCTTTGGAGGATTATAGGAAACCAATTCATTACCTCAAAAACTCATAAACAAAGAGAAAGAATGAATTCCCTGGAGCCAACTGCCAATTTTCAGGAAACATAAAGAGAAATTAATGCTGAATTATACCATGGATATGTAATCAGAAAAATCCAGACAGAGAGAAACTCTACAGGTCAAATGGCCTAGATTTGTCAACAAATAAATTGTAAGGAAATAAAAGGGATTGGTGGGAGCGGAGGGGCAGATTAAAAGAGACTTAAGATATATATATATAAAAAATATATATATACTTTTAAAAAGTTTTTTAAGGGCTGGCCCGTGGCTCACTCAGGAGAGTGTGGTTCTGATAACACCAAGGCCACGGGTTCGGATCCCTGTATAGGGATGGCCGGTTTGCTCACTTGGGAGAGCCTGGTGCTGACAACACCAAGTCAAGGGTTAAGATCCACTTACCAGTCATCTTTTAGAAGAAAAAAAAAAGTTCTTTATATTTACTTTTTTTAACTGAGCAAGATTCAACTAAAGTAATAAAGCTCTGAAGAGGTAGAAGGAAGTGATTACCCTAAAAATCAGGATAACGTGCTGTTTTGGGCAGAAGGAAGGGGCTATTGTTAGGATGAGTGCATAAAGAAGCTTCTGGAATGGCAAAGTTCTATTTCTTGATCTGAACCCTTGACCTTGTTGTTACAACACCACGCTCTAACTAGCTGAGCTAACTGGCCAGCCCATGTTTGCCTTTTTATTTTATTTTATTTATTTATTTATTTTAATTAATTAATTAATTTGACTGGTAAGGCAATCTTCACCCTTGACTTGGTGTTGTCAGCACCATGCTCTCCCAAGTGAGCTAACCGGCCATCCCTATATGGGATCTGAACCTGTGGCCTTGGTGTTATCAGCACCACACTCTCCTAAGTTGAGCCACGGGCCGGCCCCCCAAGTTTGCCTTTTAGTAACTCATGAAGCCATACATTTGATTAGTGTTTGGTTTTCTGTATCACTGTTTTATTTTACAATGAATAGAAAGTTAAAAAAATAAAAGAGAAAATGCTAATAACTATGTCAGTGTGTTCCTGTGAGGGTGGAATGAAACAAAGTAGGAATCAGACTGGGTCTGACTCATTTCCGTGTCCCCAGCACAGGGCCTTGCTCAGAGAACTAGGTGAATAAATAAACAAGAACTATTATTAGGAGTGTGTTTACACATTTGCAATGTAGTAGCCACTATTAATTGAGGCACTGTTTCTCAAAATGACCTTGCATATCACTCCTATCACACCCAACTGAGATGCTTGTTATAAATGCAGATTCATAGATTGCACTCCAGACCTGCTCTGTCCACCAGAATCTCTGGAGGGTAGGACCCTTGAGTCTGCATTTTTGTCCACAAGCTCCCCAGATGGTCCTGGTGCAAACAAAAGTGTGATAACCCTTGAAATGGACTCATTCACAGTCAGAGGTAGAATTTATAGCACTTAAACAAGTTTGTGATGGTCTCATGGACTTATTAAAATAGCAAAACAAACTATCGAAAAGATTAAAGCCCAGTGCTGGCAATGCTGTTGGGTGATAAGTCAATGACCACAAATTCAAGCTAGCAGTTGCTGAGTATTTAGTATGTATTGGGCTCTGTGCCATGCACCTAACAATCATCAGCTTGCTTAATTCTGGGAGGTCTCTGGATTTACCTACTATGACTACACCATGACATCCTGCCCCTCCCCGCCTATTACAGGTAGAGTCATTGACCACAGAGTTGTCTGCTGAACGCAGTTTCTCAGCTAAGGCAGAAAGTGGGCGGCAGCAGCTGGAACGACAGATCCAGGAGCTACGGGGACGCCTGGGTGAGGAGGATGCTGGGGCTCGGGCCCGCCACAAGATGATCATTGCTGCCCTTGAGTCTAAGCTGGCACAGGCTGAGGAGCAGTTGGAACAGGAGAGCAGGTAAGTGGGAGAGGAGACCATGGGTGGAAGGTGACCCCCACATTCTGGTCAGTGAGAGGAAGGGAACTTGTGTTACAAACACCTGGGTTAGAAACATCCAGAAGGCATCATAATGTTAACAATTTCTGATTTCGTATATCATTTAGAATGCTTTGGGCTGCAAGTTAACTGTCACTTACAATAAAATACCTGAAACTGGGTAATTTATAAGAAAAAATAATTTCTTATAGTTTTGGGGGCTGGGAAGTCCACGGTCCCGAGAACACATCTGGTGAATGCCTCCTGCTTGGTGGTGACTCTCTGTACGGCCTATGGCAACACAGGGTATCACACAGCAAGAATGGCAAGAGCTTCTTCATGTGCTCTCCTTATCAAGCTGCTAGTCTACACCCACAGCAACCCATTAAACCATCAACCCATTACTCCACGAATGGACTAATCCATTTGTGAGGGTGCAGTCCTCATGATCCAATCACCTCTCAAAAGCCCCACCTTTCAAATACTATAATCACATTTCCCACCCTCTTAACACTGTTACAAGAGGGCTCAAGTTTCTAACACACAAACTTTTGGGGGACACATTTGACCCATAGCACCCACGAAGAGTCTGATTTGCACAATAATGTAGTGGTTAGCTATAGCTGTGTAACAAACCACCCTAAAATTTTGTGGCTTAATACAATGACTATTTATTATTGCTCATGAGTCTTTGGGCTGGCTCATTGGTTCTCCTGATCTGGGCTTGGTGGATCTCACTCATGCATCTCTGCTCAACTGAGGGTCAGCTAGATGGATTTAGTCATCTTGACTAGGCTGTCATAGGTCTAATGCCTTGCCTGGGACAACTAAACTTAACTTGACTCTGCTCTGTGTGGCCTCTCATCTTCCAGTAGGCTAGTCCAGGATTGTTCATATGGCAGAGTCAAGATTCCAAGAGTGAAGGAAAGAGTTAAAGGTTTCTTGAGGCCTAGATTTGGAAGTAGCACTATGTCACTTCTGCCACATCCAGTTAACCAACACAAGTTATGTGGCCAGCTCAGATTCAAGGGAATGGGGAAGTAGATATCACCACTTGGTGGTAGCAGTTGCAAAGTCATATTACCAAGGGTGGAGATACAGGAAGGATTGAGAATTGGGACCATTTTTTCTATCAGTCTTCCTAAAAGAGGAATTTCTTTTCCTCACATAGGATGTCAGGAGCCAGGCAGCTGAAAGATGGTAGGGCTGTGGGTCAGCATCTGTGCAGATACTTTGGTCTTTCCCTCTTGGTCACAAAATGGCTGCACTTCCACTAAGCATCACACCCACACACACCCATTTTCAGAGCCAGGAAGCAGCTGCAGTATGGGGCTGAAAGAGTTTCCATCTCCAGTTGTTGAACAACCAGGAAGAGCCCCTTAATGTTCCCAGTTAAGAACAACTGTGCTAGTAAAACCAACAGAATATTTATTATTAAGCTTAATACATGTCACTCTTCCAATACAATATATTTTTCTATGGCTCAGTACAATTCAGCAACAATAGTTACAGAAATACAGATAGTTCCCACTAATTGAGCACTTAGTATATATATATATTAGGTGCTGGACTACCTGTGTATACATACGATATCACATAATCCTTGTGAGAGAAGGACCATTGTTATCCCTATTTTATGTATAGGAAAACTGAGGTCAATAACTTTCTGTTCATTATAAATTACCCAGTCTCAGGCATTTTGTTATAACAGCACAAAATGGACCAAGACACTCTGAAAGCCCAAAGCTCCGTCAACCATCTCTGGGTGTCTTCTCTCCATCTCACTCACACACTTTCCCTGGGCAAGCTCATCTACACTCCGGGTTTCCACAATTGTCAACAGGCTGGTGTCTGCTAAATCTGTCTCCTGGGCTCCAGCCTGGTTCAGCCCTGGGCCCAGGCCACCCAGCAACCCTGGAGCCCCCCAAACCCCTTCCTTAGGGGTTTTTATAGGATCCTCATTATGTAGGCATGATTGATTAAATCATTGGCTATTGGTGATTAACTCAAAATTCAGCCTCTATCCCTTTCCTGGAAGTCAGGGGTGGGCCTGAAAGTTCCAATCCTCTAATCACATGGTTGGTTCTCCTGGAACTAGCTGTCCAGGAGCCCCAGCCATCAGTCATCTCATTAGCACATGAAAAGACACATCCTGGGGTTTTAGGAGCTGTGCACCAGGAAACCGAGATGAAAATCAAATAAATATTTATTGTAAATCACAATATCACTGGAGACATTTTTAGGAACATCAGATATCTTAGTAGAAGCCAAGGACGTAGATACCCTGGAGAAGGGAGCCTGGGTGCCAGTGTCTGGCCAGAGTAGACCATGGGAGCTGGTTGGGGGATGGGAAAGAGGGAAGAGGTCAGTCCAAGAACAGTATGACAACCACTGGACAAGGCTATGGGGACAGAACCCTAGATTGAACACCTCTCCTGAGGAGGAATCCTCATTCCTCTCTTCAGAGAACGCATCCTCTCTGGTAAGCTGGTGCGCAGAGCTGAGAAGCGGCTTAAAGAGGTGGTGCTCCAGGTGGAGGAAGAGCGGAGAGTGGCCGATCAGCTCCGGGACCAGGTAAACAGATGACATCATTAGGGAGCAGTGGTGAGTGGAGAAATAGCTCAGGCCATCTCAGGAAGTAGTGACCCCACCAACACAAGAAGTAACATGCAGGTGCTGAACTGGAACTCAGTGCAGATACCATCCTGGGTATCAGCAGAGGGTTGGAATCAGTGCCTTTGCAATACATAAATTCTGGCATCTAGGAAGGGCCCTGGTATGGAGGTGAGGCAGCCAGGATAGGAAATAAGTTAAACCCTACTCAGAAATTAGACCAGGACTGAAATAACAACAGATAATGTTTATAGAGTGCTTTCTATTTACCAGGCACTGTGCTAAAGAAATAGCATGTAGTACATTTTATTCTTATCAGATCCCTATCAGGTAGAATTTATTATTTCTACTCTTATTCATGTAAGGAAACTGAGGCACAGAAAGGTGAGGTAACTTTGTTTAAAACTATTTAGTTAGTAAGAGGTGGGGTCAGGATTCAAACCCCAGCACTCTTGCCCCAGAGTCTGTGCCCTTAATTATTTATTGAACAGTTACTGTCTCAAGCAACTACTTTTTAAAAAAATACCCACTTGCATTTTCTCACTAGCCCCATTTCACAGATGAAGAAACTGAAACTTTAAGAGGGACTATAGTTTTCATCAAAGTCACAGAGTTATTAGGTGATAAGCCTGGATCAGATCCCAGGTCTGTCTGAAGAGACAGAGCCCTTGTGCCCTTAAAAGCTCAGCTGTGCTTTATTTGTCATTCATTCCACAAATAAATTATTGAGCACCCACTACTGTGTAGCCAGGCTCTGTGGTAGGCATTAGGAATATGGATGTAAATGAGACAGGAGATCCCTGCCCTCATGGAGCTCACATATTCAGCATAGGAAAAGACACAGTAAACCCATAAACAAGCAAAGGTAATTACAAATTGTGACAAGGGGTATGATGAAAAGAAGAGAATGAAGAGAGGGGAAGAAATAGAGGATTGTGGAATAGTCTTTAGATTAGAGGGTCTTCCCCAGAGAGGAAGACCTCTCTGAAGAGGTGACATTTGAACTGCTACCTGAAGGGTGAGGAAGATCCAGGTAGAGGGAACAGCAAGTGCAAAGGCCCTGAAGTATAGAAATAAACTTGGTAAATTCAGAGCAAAAAGCAGACCAGTATGGCTAGAGAGAAGAATGGGGTGGGAGAGATGAATGATAAGAAATGAGGTCAGATCATGTGTTTTCCCTCTCTGGAGAAAGAAGTTGGCAAAGTTGGTCTGGTCAGTGGGTTTATGGGAAGAAGAGACATGGACTAAAATAAGACTCTGCAGGGCCTGGAATGCCAGGCTGAGGGGCTAAGACCTTATTCCAGGGGTATTGGGGAGCCACGAGAGAGTTGTGAGCAGGGAAGGGCAGGGTCAACTCTGGGTGTAGGGAGACCCTTCTGAGGCCATGTGGGGAACTGCTTGGAGGGGAGAGACTGGAGGCTGGGGTGGAGGCTGGCATAAGGGTCTTAAGGGGAAAGGACAAGGCCTGAACAGAGAGCAGGGGATGGAGCAGAGAGAGTCAGGGGCAGGAGGGATGGGGCTGGGGATTAGTGGGCTGTGGAGAGGGAGGGGGTGAGTACAGCACCCTGAGATATGACCCGGTCCCCCTGATCCTGCCAAGCTGGAGAAAGGAAACCTTCGATCGAAGCAGCTGAAGCGGCAGTTAGAGGAGGCTGAAGAGGAAGCTTCCCGGGCTCAGGCCGGCCGTCGGAGGCTGCAGCGTGAGCTGGAGGATGTCACAGAGTCAGCTGAGTCTATGAACCGCGAGGTGACCACGCTGAGGAACCGGCTCCGGTATGGCCTCCCACACATGTGCCTGATGGGTGGGCAGCACCCTCACTCTGTAAACCCTAGGGATGCATGAGGCCAGGTCCTTGCCAGGCGCAGCAAGATGGAGAAATGGGGTCCATGGGTGTGTGGGGGTGTGGGAACAGGAACTGTGTTGGGGGAGAGCCAGACCCAAGGTAACTTCTCTTTCTTCCCACCCCTCTTTCTCCTTGTCTCATCTCTGTGTCCTCTATTTTCTGGCTTTGTACCTCAATCTTTCTGTCCATTCTTCATCTCTTTCCATCCCTTTGTCTCTCTGTCCCCCATCTCTTTCTACCCCCACCATTGCCCTCTGTCCATCTCTCTTCTCCTGTAATTTTGTTCTTTCCCCATCTCTCTCTCTCTATGTCCCCCCGTCCCCCACCTCCCCCCATTTTATCTCTGTGTCCTGTCTCTTCTTCTCCCCACAGACTACCATTGCCCTCTGTCCATCTCTCTTCTCCTGTAATTTTGTTCTTTCCCCATCTCTCTCTCTCTCTATGTCCCCCGTCCCCCACCTCCCCCCATTTTATCTCTGTGTCCTGTCTCTTCTTCTCCCCACAGACGCGGTCCCCTCACCTTCACCACACGCACAGTGCGGCAGGTCTTCCGACTGGAGGAGGGTGTGGCATCCGATGAGGAGGCTGAGGAGGCAGAGCCGGGGTCTGGGCCACCACCCCCAGAGTCTGACAGCCCCCCACCAGCCCAGTCCCAGTGATCTCACCCTGCACCCAGATGCACTAATGGACAGGGCCTGGGCCCATCCCTCCCTTGCCCCCATGGGCACCTATCCCAGGAACTCTGCCCTCTGCCTTATTGCACTTTGGAAATGGTGCCACCCTCTGGCACTTTGGCATTTATCAACTCCACCCTGTGCCCCCTGAGATCTCCCATCAACCAATGACCCCTAAACACAGAGGAGCAAACCAGGTAGGGAGGCAAGGACTGGGCTCTTTTGCTTGGGGGAAGATTGGATGTAATTGGCAAGATGTGGCCCCATCAGCTCCCTGTCCTTTCTTCAGTTGTTAATGACCTATATATATTAGAAAGGGAGCAAGGTGGGCTCCCCATTTGCTCTGCTCCTCTCTGTCTCTGTCTCTCTGTTTGTTCCTCTCTCATGGTCTGTCTTTCTCTCTAAGTCTCTCTCCCTCTCTTTCTCTTCTCTCTCCATGTAACCGCTCTCCTCCCTCCATTTCTGCCCCCACCATTGAACTTCTAAGTGACAGGCCTCCACCAGCGTTGGACCCTTACAAAGGGGTGGGATAAGGGCACTCCTCTCGTTTCCTCTCCCTCCCCAGACTCTGCTCTCCTATCTGGATGCTTTGTGTGATCTTGTTTGGAGTTTGCTGTGGGATCTGGAGGAGTCTCCCTTACACTCTCAGCCTCCAGGCTCTGGCGGAAATAAACTTCAACCTCCAACTGGACCCTTCACTGTGGCTGTGTATGTGTTCCTGCAGGGGGTCTCTTGATGGGGTGGTAGGTGGGGGAGACTGCTGGTTCCAATCACAGCTGCAACATGTATGGGGACATCCTGTGGACCAGGCACTTAACACAAAATAATTCATTTCCTCTTCACCCCACCCTCGAAGATATTCCCTCCATTATACAGATGAGGAAACTGAGGCTCAGAGTGGTTGTGTCCTTCACTCCAAGCCTCCCAGTCAGTGAGTGCCAGAAGGGATGCGTACTCAGACCAACTCTCAAGTCTTTGCAGAAAAATGAAAGCAGTGACTGTTTATGCTAGGCACTGTGCTAAGTGAATGATGTTTGTCCCAACCCTGAGCACAGTATTAGAGGTATAGATTTCATTGCTCTCCATTTCCTAGAACAGTGCGTGGCACATAGTAGGCATTCAGTAAATATTTGCTGAATGGATAAATCACAACCCCTCCTGTCCATTTAGAGAGGTGGAAACAGGTTCAGAGGAGCTGAGTGACTTGCTCAAGGACACACAGCTACTAAGAAGTTGCACCAGGGTCTGAACCCAGGCAATCTGGCTTCAGAGTCAGCAATATGGAGTGTGGGACCCTCAGTCCCTGAGCCCACACTGGGGACCCAGGTCCACCCCACCCCTGGGAACTAGCCACCCTCATCTAGGGGCTCACATTCCCCAGACTCATTTCTCACAGACTTTTCAGTTAAGGATATTGATCCCCATTTTGACCATCAGAGAGACTGAGGCAGGTACTTGTCAACCCCAAACAACGACATGAGAGCTGGTGGCCCAGGGGGTGTCTGGACCACCAAACCACCAAAGTCCATACCCTTGACACTTTAATACGAACCCACTCCTTAAGTCCCAATCTCTCTGGGTACCCCCAACCCATATCAGTAGGCCTTCCCATAAGACAAACAGGCAGAAACTTTAAATGAAAAGGAAACTTTTATTTTTGAGGAATGAGATGGTGGGTGGGAAGGGGACATGACACTTTTTCTTTGGGGAGGGGAGGTGACATGCGGCAGCTTCTGCATTGGGCGGTTCATGCACCCAGGGTGGGCGTGGGGGAGGCTCGGGGGAGAGGCCTTGCCAACCCCTCCCTCCCTGCCCTGCGGGTGGGCTAAGAAGACCCGCCGTTAGCACCAGAGTTGGACGATTTGTAGACCTCCCCTCCCCACACTGACTCCGGACCCCCGCCCCCATCCCTGAGAGCGCCTCCTCGCCACTCCCCGTCCCCCCCGGACAGGACAGGCCCGCCCCGCCCACAGTCGAGTGAGCGAAACTTATTGCTGTGCGTGCGTGTGTGTATGTGTGTGTGCGTGCGCGTGCGTGCGTGTGTGTGTGTGTGTGTGTGTGTGTGTGTGTGTACACACCCCATTTCCTTTATCCATCATCTGTTGTGCGTGTAGCTGCAGGCACCCTGGCGGCCGGCGGGGAAGGGGGAGCCGGACTTGGAAGTCGTCCCTTTAGCGCGCTCGCTCTCCCTCCCCGAATCCCGCACTGTTGGTTGACTTGGGGGACGAGGGAGGGGACGAGAATCACGTTTTTGTAGTTTGTAATGACTGTGGTTGTTTTTAAAAGCTGAACTAAAAAGCTGGGTACATGTGGCGGATTGGCGAGCGGGAGGGAGACCTTGAGAAGAGGTCAGTACCCTTTGGTAGAGACCCTCACCCCCTTTCCCCGCCCCATTCGGTTTTCGTGAGGCTCAGGGGAAACGGGGGGCTTTTTAAAGAAGTTGAACCCTTTGGCAATATGATCAGTCCCCACCCCATACCCTGGTGTCTGGATCCCCTAGCCCTTTGCCCGGCCCCCACCAGAACCCGTCCCACCCCTCACCCCTGATTCACCAGGGTTTAGGGCCCGAGGGAAGGATGGGGGGGACTCAAAATGCCCCTTGCATAGGAATCGTTGCATCAAGAATCGTGCTCAGTGACGACCCCCACCCACACTCAGGTGGGGTGGTGGATTCCTGAGGCCGTGGGAGCAGAGGGAGGGAGGTCGCTAATTCCGTGGGTCCCTAGCTACAAAAGGGGTCCGCTAAGGACCCTGGGACCGGTGTGGTCTCTGGGCTTGGGGGAGGTAGCGCATCCTTGAGCCAGGATGGAATATGAAAAATGATTCTCCACCAGTGAGTGTAGCGGGGCGAGGAAGGCTGGGGAAGGGCGGGCTGGGATCTCAGCCGAGTCGGGCATCTTGTCGTTTTCCGTGCTTCTGGTATTTCAGTGTCACTCCACTCGTGCACAGCCTCTACGATCATTTGTAGACTGCTTTTAACCTAAATAAACTGTCCCGGCCAACCAGCAATACCTGGATGTACCGCTTATGTGCAAAATGTGCACATTCAAGACAAAACTTAAAACAAGCGTTTGTCCTTGTACTGCTGAAAACCTGAGCACACCACCCAGGGTACAAATACGCCCCTCTGGGAAACACTGGTCTCCATTAAGAGGGTACCTTTTGGATACCAGTTCAGAGAAGGGGCTTTGGGGGGCAGGATTAGACATAAGAAGAGGGGTGCCCTGGGAAGATCTGATTCCTTGGGATTGCAGACAGGTTGAGCCTATCTTGGAGGTGGATGAGCCTGATGTTAGGGATTTGGGGATATCTGGGGGAGGGCAGGCCTGAGGATCTGGAGGTGTACAGGAAATGTCAGAGTTGTGGAAAAGATCTGGAGCATCCCAAAGGCTGAAACTGGGCTGAAGAGCTGGGTCAAATCTTGGAGGCTTGAGAAGTGCTGGGATGCAGTCCAGGGAATTTGGTGGGGGTGTTGGGGGGAGGGGTAGCATCTGTTTGCAGAAGTTAAGTCTCAGGTGTGTGGGGGGATTTGGGGGTGCAGGGTGCAAAGGTCAGTCTCAGGAATTCTGGGTACAGGTCTCATGTCCTGGGGATGGAATGGGGGTTGGGGAATCTTGTGTGCTAGGGCCAAATTATCCCAGGAATTCTGGGATGGGAGGTCTGGGTCCATGCAGCAAGAATAGAGGCCAGCAGATCCCTTGGGGGGACGGGAGTATGAGAGGGTGAAATCACCAGAAAGATCCTCCTAAAGGCTAGGTAGCAGCTGTCCACAGCCTACCCCCCTGCCAAATCGCACCCTCTGAGCTTGGCTCTGGTTTTGGCTTGGGTAGCTGTTCTTCCTTCTCCCACGTTGTTTCCACTTCCCTGTTTTTCCTTTAACATGTGATGGGTTGGTTGCTCTCCTGGGGTGAAGGGTAGGAAGCCAGGAGACCCTCCTGTGGCTTAAAGACCAGCCTGTCCCCCTTGAGGTCCCAGCCCTCTGCCCAGGCCACCACTTCCCTTGAACTTGTGGCATGCAGCCCCTGGCGGCTTATTGCTGAGGTGGAGTTGGCATAGGGGATCCAGGTTAGCGGAGGCATGCAGAATGTGTGTGGGAGAGGTGCTCCAAGATGTAAATGGCATAATTTGGACTTATTTACACAAGTTGATGGGAGGGGGGTGGTCTTATGGCTCATGGAGACCTGAGAAGGCTTTTTGGGGGGTGGAAGCTGGGGGATGGGCTTCAGCCCCTCCCCCTCCATCCTGGGGGCCCAGGTGAGGGGTTAGGGGCCCGGGGGTGTCTGCTGGCATCGTCATCTCGGTTGCATATTATTAATGACTTTTTGATTTTTTTAAAAAACCCTTTCCCCCACCCGCCCACCCCCAGCTCCTTTGACCTTCCGGGTCACCCCCAAGTCCCCCCACAGGGGGGAGGGGAGCGCTAGAGGATGGAGGGCAGGGTTGGGGGAGCGTGGCGGGCTGCCCGGGGAGAGCCAGGGGGGGTGGCAAGGGGTGCGAGGCGTAGGGACACCCCACTCAGGCCCGCGATGCTGCTCAGGCTGCGGGATTTCTCGTAACCTGGGGGGTGGGCAGGGCAGAAACACGGGAGGAAGCAGGAGATGGGGTACAGGGAGTCCAACAGAGAGAGACCCCAAGACGGGGAGAAAGACAGAGAGAGGAAGAGATGGTGGGAGAGGGAAGCGATACCCAGAGAGACAAAGAGAAATACAGAGACGGTGAGGGAGACAGGAAGGACGCAGGGAGAGAGAGACAGAGGGAGACAGTGGGACACAGACACAAAGACAGATGGCAAGAGACAGAGAGATGGACAGAGGCGGGCCAAGGAGATGGAGAGAAAGTGAACAAATCGGAGAGTCAGTCAGCATCAACGGAAACGGTTCAGACATGGGGAGAGGGAGAGACTCGGGATTAGGAGGCAGCGCGGCTCCCACCGAGCCTCCCCGCCCATCCCCACCGCAGGCCGCCCCTCTCCCACCTGCCCCCTGTGGGTCCCCTCATCTGAGGCATAAAGGTGGGGGCAGCGAGGCGGGATGGTGGCGGCAGGGGCGTGGGGAGGGGCTGGGGTGGAATGAATGTGGGGAGCAGCCATGGAGAGGGCTCGGCGCACTGGGCGGGATCTGGGGGGCTAGCCTAGTTGTAGGGAAAGGAGAGAGGCAGGTGGGGGCTGTGAGGGAGCTGCATGGAGTCAAAGCTGGCAGTGCCCTTGGGGAGTCAGAGAAAAGCCGCAAGAGCAGTCAGAGGGGCCAAGGGGCAAGGCTCACCCTGAAGGTTCTAAGGGGGCATCTTTGGAGGGTCCAAGAAGCCTCTGGGCTTCTGATGGGTGACGGGAAGGCTCTAACGGTGGCTAATGACAGACGGCTAATGGGACCCAAGATTGAGGAGCGGTGTGTTGGGAATGTCTTCAGAGTTCTGCCAGCGTGGAGGGGGGAATGTCTGTGGCTCTTCTAGGCAGTGCTGAGGGGACTGTTTGGACAAGGTCTTGACCGTACGAAGGGTTTGAAGGTTTGAAGCCCAGTATATTGGGGACATCCCCTCCCAGCCATTCCCAATTGCTAACCTGGGGGGAAGGGACAGGGGGGGACCGAGGGTCTCACGAGGTCTCAGGCGGTGACAAGAGCTGGGGACAGAAATACACAGAGTCACGGTGGAGGGAGGATGGCCGGGGGAACCCCCCAACACAGCCTCACTGTTGGGGGGACGGAGAAACGCCGGAATCTCTTCCTTCTCTCTGGTGTTTTCCGGGGCAGGGGAGCAGTGAAATGGGGTGGCCAGAGACATCAAATATGGAAGGAGCTTCCGGGGTGGCTGGGGGAGGGGATTGGGGGAGAGGTCAAAGGATGGCAGGAGGGAGGGGCTGGGGAGGAAGTGGGAACAACTGATGGGTGAGGGAAGCCGTATGAGGAGGGTCATGGTGGTGGACAGGCCAGGAGAAAGGGAGGGCTTTGAAGGAAGGAGGGTAAGGGGCAGGTGGGGAGGAAAGGCCGTGGTAGGAGGGAGGGCCATGGGGAGGTATAGAGGGGGAGAGGAATGGGGAAGGGAGGGTTCAGCCAGCCCCATCAGCTCCAGCCATTATTTGAGTTCAATGAATGGATTTTGGCGTCATAGGCAAGAGAAGCAGGGCCCTTCCCCGCCCCCCACCCCGCCCCACCCCCAACCCTCCTTCAACGAGATTCCCAAATCCTCCCCACCTCCTCTCCCCTGCCAGTTCCATGAGGGCCCATCCAAACCTAGGGGTGGGGAATGAAGGGTGATAACGGGACTGGGTGCAAGCAGGGGGGAGGGAGTAGGGGGGAGCAGGGAGAGGGGTGGGGGTGGGTAATAAAATGAAAGTGGAGGATGACGTGGGGGGAGTTGGTGAGGTGCAGGGATGGAACAAGAGGAGCCGCAGTCCCCTCTGGACTAGGAGTCCAGAAGCCTGGGTCCTTTTCCCCATCTGCTGTGTGGCCGGGGGTTGCTCATGGCCCTCCCTGAACTTCTGGGAAATACGGGGCTTTAGACAAGGCCATCCGTGGGGGCTCCACAAGTTACTCTATGGCATCTCCTTAGGCTTGGAACAGGGATTCTTTAGGGTGTGTCTCTGTATTTTGGGGGCTTGCGGGGGTTGGGGGTGGCTGGCCAGTATAGGGACGGAACACTGGACCTTGGCGTTATCAGCACCATGCTCTCGCCAGCTGAGCTAACTGGCCAGCCCCTGTCTCTGCATTTCTAAGGAAGATTCCACAGGTATTTGTTGAATGACTATGTGATGGATCAAATACTTCTAGGTGGCTTCCCATTGCATTTAAGATAAAATCCAGCCTCTTAGATCTGGCCAGTTAGCTCGGTTGGTTGGAGTGCTGCCTTGTAACCCCACGGTCAAGGGTTCCAATCCCCCTATCAGTCAGCCATCTCAAAAAAAAAAAAAAAAAAAAAAAAAAAAAAAAATTTTTAAATTCCCAAAATGGGCAGCCGGAAAAAAAAAAAAAAAAAAAATCCAGCCTCTTCATGGCCAAAATGCCCTTCATGACCTTTCTCCCTGGACCCCCTCTGCACCCCTCTCCCCTCAGCTGCTTGGCCCCAGCCACACTGCCCTCCTTGCTATTCCTCTAACAAACCAAGCTCATCCCACTCAGCACCTCAGGGAGTTTGCACTTGTTTCTTCTGCCTGGCTGGCCCTTTTCACCTTTCAGGTTTCATGTCACCTCCTCAAAAAAGCCTTTGCAGAGCTCTTATCTGAAGTGACCAAAATAATTATCTTGTTCTTTTCTCTTTTTTTCTTAATTATTTATTTTCTGCTTCTTCCAATCTGGAGTTGGTAAACTTTTCCTGTAAAGGGCCAGACAGTAAATCTTTTTTGGCTACGGGGCCATACAGACTCTGTCCCAATTATTCCATTTGGCTGTTGTAGTAACAACAGTTACTGTAACAGTGGCTATGTTCTAATAAAGCTTTATTTATAAAAACAGCTGGCTGAACGATTTGGCCTTGGGTCATAGTTTGCCAGCCTCTGTTCTAAATTGTAAACTGTGATGGGAGAGTCTTGCTTTGTTCACTTCAAAATCTCCAGTGCCTGGAACTGCCTTCAAGAATTAGTTGCTGAATGAATGAATGGTTGAATACATGAATGAAATCAGCTAGGGGTTGACTGGTGTTGTTATGAGGATTAAAGAACATTTGTGAAATTCCTAGCATGTGATAAGGGCTTGGTGATGTTTGCTGAATGATTCATTTACTAATTATCTCTTCACTCTAACCCTTTCACCTCCCTACAGCTATCAGTCCCCAGCCCCATGCCTCCTGATCCCTGCCTGACTCTCTCTGCCTCATCTCTTCCTCTCCATCCCTACTGCCCTGGCCCCATTCAGGCCTCATCCTCTCCCCCTGGATCCTCCCCAGCCTCCTCCCTGGGCTCCTGACCTCCAGTCTCCCCTCTCAGTCCATCCCCCACTGGCCCCAGAGCTGCCCCTGTCCCTCCCTGGTTGACCTGCCTTCCCAGTCCTCAGTCACCCCTGCTTTCCTGACTTACCTCTGTTTACTAATCCCTTTCCCTCTAGGATCCAATCTCCCAGGCTTTGCTTGTGTGGTTCCCTCTAATCATTACTGTCTAAATGGGATCACTTCCTCTTGTTCATCTTTGAAGTCTCACCAGAAGAACTCTGGCACGTTCTGTAAGTCTCATTGTAGATATCAGAACTTTTTCCTAGGGCCGGCCCATGGCTCACTTGGGAGAGCGTGGTGCTGACGGCACCAAGTCAAGGGTTAAGATCCCCTTACCAGGCATCTTTTAAAAAAAACAAAACAAAACAAAACAAAACCTTTTTCCTGATGTCCCCCTCCCACCCCTGGGAGTTTTGCATGTTCTTCTTACTACATGTCCCTGTGCTGCCTCCATTTGAGCATACATCACCTCAAACAGTGACTTTCTAGGTCTGTGTTTGAACTCCCACTAAACTGGGAGCTCCTGCGGGCATGGATTTTGTTCATGGTTGAATTCCCCGGGCCTAGCACTTGAGACATGTGGGTGCTCTCTAAGTGCTGGCTGAATTCACAGTGGATTGGATAGGTGGCTGAGCCTTTCTCACCCCATCCTGCACCCAGAAGAGTGCCCTGGGTAGGCACCCCATTTTCCTGATTGAATTTTAAAAAACCAAGAGAGGAGGCAGGGAGAGAGATGATGGAGGTGAGGATGGGGGTCAGTCATGGGGGTGAGGTGGGCCAGTCAGGTGCAAGCTGTGGGAGGGTTGGGGTTAGTTTTGGTGGGTTAGTGAGGGGCAGGGCAAGTCCTGGGGCAGGTGGGTGTGCGGTCAGTGTCAGGAGCTGGGGGTTAACTGGATGCAGCTGTTCATAGCGAGGGGGCGGGAGTCTTGGTCAGTGGGGGCTAAATGTTCTCAGAGGGGTTAGTCAGGAAGGAGTGGGGAGTCAGAGGGGAGGGATCATAGGGTGGGGGCTACTTACCCCAGGGGGAGGGGGTTCGTCCACTAGGGGGATATCCAGGCTGCAGCGTTGGCGTTGAGGTCGGGCAAGAAGCTTGGGGGGCCTGGCTTATGCCAGTCTGGGGGGACCAGTGGGGGAGCACCAGTGGCTGGGGGTGGGGGAAAAGGCCAGAGGGTCCAGGGTGGGGTAGAAGGAAATGGAGATGGAATAAAGACAGGTGAAGGGTCAGTGGTGAGGAAACTTGGGGCAGGGGGTGGGGGTGATCTGGAAGGGAGGCAGTTTGGGGCCAAGGGATGGGGGAAGGGAAGTCCAGTGCCTCCTCCCCCATAACCCTCTCCTTCCTCCCCTGGGTAGGGGAGAGAGGGAGGGTCTCAGGGGGCCAGTGGAGGGCACCTCACCTTTTCGGATGGAGCCATCAGGGGAAGGGGCATAGTCGGTGAGGAGGAAGCAGGCTCGGTCCCGGCTGTAGCGACCCCGGCTTCCAGGTGTGATGGGGCTCTTGTCCTCCGGGGACATGGCAGGCTGGTCGATGGCTGGACAGTCCTCATGGGCAAGAGCAGCTGCTGCTGGATCCCCATTGGGGCGAGGATCTGTGTCCCGAGGGGGTCAAAGACACAAAGGAGAGTGAGGTGTGGGGAACTCATGGTGGGGGTGGGTGGTTGTGAAGAGTTGGAAGAGCTGGAGGACCTGTTGGGTGCTGGAAGATTCAAAGGCAGGATGTTGGGAAGAGGTGGCTGTGATGGTGATGGGAGGGGCACAGTGGGGAATATTAAGGAGGGGGCAGCTGGTGGGTTTGGGGAGGGAATGATCATTGGGGGGAGGTGTTGGGTGTAGGGAAGGGCAACTGGGGTAGGGAAGGGGAGTCAGGGCAGGGTGTTGGATAGAGGTGGGTTGAGGTGGTAATGAGTGCTAGGAAGTGGTCGTTGGGCCAGGTGTTGGGTACTGGGAAGGGCAGGACTCGGGTGGGGTGTTGGATACTTGGAAGGATGGTTGGGCGAAGCAAGCTGGGTGCGAGGTAGAGGCTGAGGCACAGTGTAGGGTGGAGGTGGTTGGTTGAAGCGAACAGAGTCGGGCATGGCTGGAATATGATGGTGGGGGTTTGGAGGGGATGATTGGGGAGGATGTAGCAGGGCGGGAAGTGGTTATTTAGGGACAAATGTTGGGTGCTGGAAAGGCCACCGTGGGGAAGGGCTGGAAAGGTGATAGATGAGGGAGGGGGAAGGTTGGGGTCTCCTAGGCTCTGACTCCAGCTATTTTTAATTGGTGTGAAACTGGGTCAGTGGCTGAGGGAGTAAGATGGGGGCCGGGTGGCCCAGCTCCCTTTCTTGACCTACTTAAGGCATGGGGGTGGGGCCCACCAGCCTCTCTCTTCCTGGACTCCCAAATCACTGCCTCTGAGGCACAGACTCCCACAAGGGGAGGGACACACACACACAAGGGCATAGTGAACTTTCTTCTCCTGTAATCTCCTTCACCTCATCTCTTCCTCTTAGCAACATCCCTCTGGACCTCTCTCCCAGATTCCTTGAAGACTACCCTCAACAAAGTGACTGGGCCCTCCTGTCAGGTGACTTTCCTGCCCTGGGGTCTCCGCTCTGACATCTGACTTAGTTTTTATGTCTGTCTCCCTCTCTTGGTGTCACTGTTATTAGAACCTGACGTCTGCCCCTGACCTTCCCACCCCCACCCCTCAATCTCTGTCTCTTCTCTTTTTCTACAATCTAAGTGATAATCTCTTGGTTTCTGACTGCCTCGGACTGTCACCTTTAGCCTCTCTTTCCTCAGGATTGTCTCCGGGATACTCAGATGCTGCAGCCACCCCTTGGCCTGTCTCTCGTCTGCCCATGGTTCATGTGTGAGACCCTCTCTGTGCGTGTCTCTCTCTGAGTCGCCCTCTCTTCCTCTGAGTCCCTCTCACTGTACGACTGATTACTCTGCCTCTTGCTGCCTCTGCCTTGCTGGCCTCCCTGAATGCCTCAACTGCAAGCCTGCCTCTCCCCAAAACTCTTTCACATGAAATCTATATCACCCTAATTTTTTGTGTCTCCTCTTTGACCTTAGCTCTGCTTGTTCATTTTTTCTCTGTCCCCTCTCTGTTGCTGACCACCCCAGTCTCTCTGAACCTCAACAACTACCTCCAGACCTCCCAAAAGCCTCCCCCACTCCTCTAATAGGTCTCTGCCTCCACCCACCCACCCCTACCCCTCACACCCCAGCCTCACCTGCCCGGTTGATCTCAATCACCTCCTCCTGAGCCAACGGGCAAGGCTCACCAGGGGCCGGCAGAGGAGGCAGCCCCATGATCCCGAGCCCACCCGCTCCCCCCCTGAGCAGCCCAGGGTGCGTGTGGGGCCCCGGTGGGTAGGCCCCAGCCACAGTCACCCCCATGGAAGGTGGGGTGATGGGTGGCGGGGGACTGATGCCTCCGCTGCCATGGTGAGGGTGAGGCGGGGGTGGCAGGGGTGGGTCGGGCTTGCAGTAGTTGGGTGAGCCAGGCTGCAGGGGCCGGGGGATGTGTTTGTTCTTCTTCTTGGGCAGCTTCTGTTTGGCCATGGCCAGTGAATAGTACATGCCAAAGTTGTTGACAATAACGGGCACGGGCATGGCAATGGTAAGCACCCCTGCCAGGGCACAGAGCGCCCCAACCAGCATCCCCGACCACGTCTTAGGGTACATGTCTCCATAGCCCAGGGTCGTCATGGTGACCACAGCCCACCAGAAGCCAATGGGGATGTTCTTGAAGTAGGTGTGGTTGGAACCCAGGATGTCATCGGGGTCGGCACCAATGCGCTCAGCATAGTAAATCATGGTGGCGAAGATGAGCACCCCCAGGGCAAGGAAGATGATGAGCAGCAGGAACTCGTTGGTGCTGGCCCGGAGCGTGTGGCCCAGCACACGCAGCCCCACAAAGTGGCGCGTCAGCTTGAAGATGCGCAGGATGCGGACAAAGCGGACAACTCGCAGGAAACCCAGCACGTCCTTGGCGGCCTTGGAGCTGAGGCCCGAGAGGCCCACTTCGAGATAGAAGGGCAGGATGGCAACGCAGTCGATGATGTTGAGGCTGCTCTTGAGAAACTCCACCTTGTCTGGACAGAAGGTGATGCGCATGAGGAACTCGAAGGTGAACCAGACCACGCACACTCCCTCCACGTAGGTCAGGAAGGGCTCCGTCTCCACCTCCACGTTGGTGATATTCTCTGGTGGGGCCCCAGGGATTGGCGAGGCCTGCGTCACTGTCTTGTTGCTGATGTGGATGAAGCCTTCATGGGTCTCCAGGCAGAAGGTGGTGATGGAGATGAGGATGAAGAAGAGCGAGGCGAAGGCCACATACTGCGGGATGGGGTGGGAGAGAGGGAGAGAGGTGACCCAGACATCTGGTCGCCCAGAGTCTCCAGAAGACCCTTCCAATGCCCCCTTCACTGGCCTCCTGGACCCAAACTCTGGGGGAAAGCCAGGTGTCCAAACCCGGTTGCTCCATCACTTCCAACATTCTGTTCTCCCCTGGGAGCTAACAAAAGGGGACAGAAAGGGAGAGGAGCTGGCCCCAGCAGACGCAGCAGATGGGCAGCATCTTCCTTGGAAACAGCATTTCTGGCCCCTTGCCCAGTCACCTAGACCACTTCCCCCATACTCCTGTTCCTTGTGTCCTATTTCAGGGCTCCGTGGCAGGGTCCAAGTGTTCTATTACGGGATGGGGGAAGAGAGGAACCCAGAGCACACACCCTCTGTGTATCAGAGGCTTTGGGGTTCACCTTAGCACTGAGGGAAGGGAAAGGGGAGAGGGTAAGTGGAAAGGCAGAAGGATGAGCTGGTTAAGAATACAAAAGCCAAACAAACAAACAAGAAAATAAAAACCAGAAAAAAAACCAAAAAAAACAAAAACCCAAAAGACTGGGTTCGAATCCAGCTTTTAACCTGCCAAACTTGGGCAAAGAGATTAAGCTTTCTGAACCTCAAGTTTTTTATGGGATTGTGACAAGATTTAAATTAGATGAGTGTACAAAAAGCTTGGCTCCATGTCTAGAACACAGTAAGAAGGTCTGAACTGTTATGACACTATGGGGGCATCAGTCAATAGGCAAGGCCGAGGTGTCAGAGAGGGGCCAAGGGTTAAGGACCTTGGTGCCAATGTTCTGGTCCCAGGAAAGGGAGAGGGCTGGATAAGGACCTCACCCAGAGAGGACAGTCCAGGAGTGGAAGCACAGAGGGGAGCAGGGTGCCAGCTCCCTGAAGAGGGAAGGGATTGAAGGGCTAAGGCTACATAAGTGGAAGAGGGTAGAGAAGGAGGCAGTGGTGTGTTGAAGGCTCTGGAGAGGAAGAGTCAGGGGCTGGATGTTGGGGAAGGGCAGAGCCAGGGCCAAAGAGAGGTGAGGGCCATTTGTCAGAGGTGCAGACAATTGGGGGGAAGGGAAGGTGCCCGAGTCATTTCAACGTGAGGAAAAATCAGAGTCCTGCCCGAGGATGGTGTGGGTTTGGATGAAAGCCTTGAAGAGGAGAGAGGGCGGGGTCAAGATCTTGGAGAAGGAAGGCAACAGGGCAGTCTACTAAACATGAAAGGGGGCTTCATCAGATACCTAGTGGGAAGAGGGACAGGAGTGGGGTTAATTCCTTGGAGAGGGAAGGAGATAGGTGTTGGGGTAAAGAGGGGGCTTTAATCAGATGGGTAGTGGAAGAGAAAGGGTATGGGGAACTTGACATTTAATCGGGAGTGCAGAACAGGAAAGGAGGGCCAGGGTTGGGCTGTAGAGAGGACTCTGTACCTTGGAGTGGGCCAGCGGCCAGCACCGTCCCTCTTTGCACCACCCTTTCTCCATAGAGGTAGGATGGTGGGGTCTGGGCTTGGAGGGGGTGCTTCACTTTAATCCGAGGTGTAGAGCAGAGAGGGGGCCAGTGTCGGGGCCGCAGAGAGGACCACGGACCTAGAGGTAGGCTGGCGTTCGGCGCTGGCCCTCTCTGCCCACCCCCCACTTCGTTTCTCCGCAGTGGTTAAGAGGCCAGAGGCCTCCGCAGAGCGCATGCCTGGTGCTTCCCCGCCCCCTCCGAGCCGGGCGCCGAGCAGGCTGCGGCACCGCAGTGGAGGCGGGCCGGCCCGGACGGGGGGCGGGGCGCGTAGCGGCCAGCACCGCGGACAGCTCCCCCGCCGCAGTGCGCAGCCGCAGCGGCAGAGAGCCACCTTAACCCCTTCCCGGCCGGAGCCAAGTGGGCAGTGGCGCAGCCGCAGTGCCGCCGCTTCCCGGCTAGAGGCCGTGGTCCAGGAGCTTGATTAACTCCTTCCTTCCCAAGGCACGGGGGAAGGTGGGCACCCGCCGCAGTGCGCAGCTGCAGAGACTGGACAGCGTCGGGCTGGTTTACCCTTTACCTTGGGTGGCTCAAAAGCAGAAGGGGTAGAAGGGCATGGAGTTCCTGTAAGAAGGAAAGGAGAAATTACGAGGAAGAGAGAGAGGGGGAGGTAGGGCCGGATCCTCCACTTTGCATTACTCTCAGCTCCCAATTCTCTCAAGCAATCTCACCTGGACGCTGGAAAGTAATTGGCGCGCCGCGGACACTCAAAAAACATGTGTGGCATAAATGAATGACCTCCGTAGCTGTCTTGGACCCCTAGCTTGACCATCCCAGAAGGACTCTACCTTCATCCTCCCCTCACCTCAGCACCCTTCAGTGGGGTCACAGGAGGGAAGGGCGCCCCAGGCCATGGGGAGATGGGCTGCTCAGAGGCCTGAGAGGGCATGTAGGGCCACGTCCGTTCTGCACTTCCTTCTCCCCACCTCCCCCCACCCAACCCCAAATCTCGCCAACTCAGCGCTTCCCGGGGACCAAACTTTATGCGGTAGCTCCGGGGCCCCCCTCCCTCTTGTCGTCCCCCCCCCCCCCCCCCCCCCCCCCCACCCCCCCACCTCCC